CGTTCGCAGGGCTTTTCCTGTCTACCTGCTCAGTGCATCTGAGTTGAGAGTGCTGTCCAGAGCTGTCACAATGAAGCACTGTGGGATAGCTCCCGGAGGCCAATAACGTTGAATTCCGTCCACACTACCCCAATTCCAACCCGCTAAGGCCAATTTTATCGCTAATCCCCTCGTCGGAGGTGGAGTAAAGAAACCGGTTTAAAGGGCCCCTTAAGTCGAAAGAAAGGGCTTCGTCGTGTGAACATGTCCAGGCTTAATTCGATTTAATGCTGCTAAAGTCGACCTGAACTCGTAGTGTAGACCAGGCCTAAGGCTTGTGGCTTTCCATGCAAGAGGCTGAACTGAAGCCCCTTTACACATCACACTCCTAAATACAGACCTTGTGCAGCACATTACAGTATTTCCCTGCTTAAAATGAACATGCTGACTTTGCTATGAATGTATAAATCCACAGTTATCATTGCATCATATCACTGATTTTCTGTTGTGGTCCATCAAGTCTGCAACGACTAAGTCCATCCTGGTCATAGAAAGCAATAGCTGCATGCCACAAATTAGATGTCAAATTTATGAGCTCATAATGAGCAAAACAAAAATCCCCATAGTGTGCCCAAGGCCTGTACATTTTGTTCAATGTTCTAGTCCTAGGAGCAGCTGACCTAGATTCGCTGCCTGAATGACAATGTTTCCCAGCAATTGAGGCTGTTCAGAGAGTCAGGAATTCAAGTATTGCCTGAAAGCTTATCATAGAAAGAAAATGAGGCTATAGTTTTAAGAGAAGCAACAATATTCATTAGTCATGTAACAGATTCTCAAATATCCACATAAAATGCAACACTCACTGCACTAGCTTTCATTTCAGAGTCTGACAAGACTGTTTTTGCAATTTGTCCCCACTAAGCAAACAAGGCAGTTTCCAGCACTATGCCTCCTTGGAATAAACAGTGTGAAAAACTTTGCCATATGGCAAATTGGATTTTCTGTAAATGGTCTGACAGTTGACTAGGAGCCAGGACTCCTTGGTTCTCTTGCTGTTTCTGCCACTGACTCATTCTATGGTCCTGGGCAAATCAGTTCCTCTTTGTGCTTCAGTTCACCCATCTGGAAGATGAGTATTATAACCATTCTTATTAACTCTTATGCATTTGGGTTGTGAGGTTTAATTCATACTTGTAAAGCACTTTGATTTCCTGAAATGAAAGGCACTATAGAATAGCAAAGTTCTTCTGTCCTTACTCTGTGTACCGTACACTTTAATGTTGTAAAGTCAGGGCCAACTCCAGGCATCAGCCGAGCAAGCTGGTGCTTGGGGTGGCAGCTTATAGGAGGCGGCATTCCACCCAATCCTAGGGCGGCATGGCCGCTTTTTTTTTGTTCTGCTCCAGCCGCCCAGTAGGGGGCAGCAGCATGGAGGACGGGAGCGCCTTGCAGCAAGCCCGGCAGGGCAGCCCATGTCCTTCCCTCCCAGCCGACCGGAGTGGTGCGGAGCCCTCCGAGCAGGGGGCACGGCGGGAGGGGGCACGTGGCAGCGCCCCACTGAAGCCCTGGCTGCCCCCTTCTCTCTCTCCCCCCGCTCCCTCCCCCCACTAGCCGGCACACATCTGCAGGGCAGAGAGTCCCCCTGCACCCTGGCTCCGGCCACGCCGCAGGTTTTTTTTTTTTTGGCGCTTTGCTGTTCTGGCCGCTTGGGGCAGACAGAAAGCCAGAGCCAGCCCTGTGTAACGTACCCATTTTAAAGTACAATGACTACGATGGGATAAGATTTCTTTTTTTAACAGTAACTGTAGCCCCCACTACACCAGCAGTTTCCTCCCTAAGGGCTAGATCCTGGATCTATAAAGGACTCTGGTCATGGCAAACCCCCACTGATTTCAGGACACAAGCTGCACTTGCACATACAAATGATCAGGGTCAGTGATAAGACACGTACCCAGTGCGTTCAGTTGGAAAGACATTCTTCACAGTCTCATCACTGAGACTTACTGGAAGTTTTAGCAAAGCAGAGGCAGGTGAGGCACCGATGGTATTAAAATCCAATTAGCTGCTTTGAAACTCAGATTTGGTTGACTGGATTCAAACACCACATCAGACAAATGGGTTTTCCCCTCACAAGCTCCTTTCTTATGTGTGGGTAGCACACAAACTAGGTCTCATTTTTCTGTTGAAACACTTGCCACAGCTGTTATTTTTAGAAAGCTGTGTGATGGTCTGACTTTTGTTTATGAGCACAAAAAATGAATGCTGAATATTTTACTGCCTGTATTGTTTGTGTTTTTCAGTTTCACATTTGATTACTGAGACCCCTTACTCTTCTGCCAGACGACTGAATGAAGAAACCTTGCTGACAAGACGTGTTGGCCCTCTGACAAAGCAGAGTACAGTTGCAGGTGAGCAAATAAGACTAGACAGGGATACTGACAGGAAGTAAAAAGGCAGGCTTACAGATGTAGGTGGTGATGAACCAGGAAGCAGCATGTGATAGAAGGATCTATGACAAAAACATACCAGAGGACACTTTAAGACTGCAGAATCCACACTCAGATCTTCTAGACCTGCTGCACAAGGCAGAAGCTGGGTCTCTGCAGCTGAATGAAACCCAGCAAGAGTTCCAAGTTTAGCAACAAAAACCCTGTTTATGGTTTCAGGTTTATTTTCAGAAGGTTTTGGTTTTTGTCCCTGCAACTCATCCACTGCAACCAAAATAACACAAGGCAATAAAATCTCTATATTCCCCATCAAGCAGCTTAACACTCTACATTCCAAATGATAAAAAACTGAACAAGATATGAACAAGACCCCTTTTTCCCCTCAGAGTTCCTTGTCCTGGCTTTTTAAGGTACTGAGCCTAACCAGGATCAGCTGCACCTGATTCCCTCAGCTGTTAGCAGGAAAATTGGAAGGAAGTCCCCACACAGGTGTCTTGTTTGTAGGGCCTCACCCTAAGGCACTATTACCAGGGATGCTGGAACAATTTTTATAGTGGAGGTGCTGATGGAAACTATGCATCTTGTGTTTATTATTACTACTTCAAGCCAGGGGGTGTGGTGTCACCCCCAGTACCTCTAGTTCCAGCACCACCGACTACCACCATGGGGTGCCTCATGGTTGCAGGGTCCCCTACAAAGAGACATCATGACCTCTGTACGCTCATCACAACTGAAAAAAAGATGTAAGGGGAAGTCATAGAAATCAAAATGTGGCTTTTACCACTGTAGCATCTGAATCTTGTTATGTACAAATAAAGAGGAAAAATACACTGCAAAATACAAATGTGATATGCATTGGCTACAAACAATGCCATTTTCTTTCAGGCTGCATAACTGATGTTTAAAGCAAACATAGAAGCTCAAATAGAAATTGTAATAAAAAACAAAATGAAAAGATACTCTAAGCCCAACATTTTGACCTGAAAACTCAGAGCACGTTCAAGGCAAGTTAATGGGCACTGCTAGTCAAGTGTATTGTAGAAAGAGATGCAAGGCCAAAGTAGCATCAAGATACTAGTAGTACTATAATTTACTATCTGTTGAGAACCAATTGCCTAATCAGCCCTGTACAGATCAAAGAAGAGTCAAGAGCTCTTGATGTTTTCCTGACATTGTGTTCTTCCAAGCAACC